TTGTTTGTTTTAAAGTTGGCTACACATGGCATATTAAACATTTCATATGTGAGGTTCGGCTCGGGTCCAAGGGATGAAAATTTCCTCATCATGTTTTTTTTAAATTTCTGACACTACATACAGGGCATAGTTTAATAACAACAGCTAATAGTTTGTGTTGTCCATGATCATATGTAATGCTGTTCTTATGCTATACTCAGAAATGCTTGTCAGGGGATCTCACCGTTTCAGACAAACTGCCTTTCCCACACCTTTTCGTTTTTGGATTTAGACCTGGCTCTAACTTTCTCAAACTCACAACCAAATATTTACACCACTGAAGCTATTGCGAGGTATGTGGGAGTGGGAAAGCAGGCAGAGACTTAAGAGGATATTAAACAATTTTCTAGTTAGTTAGTTTTAAGCTTCAAATTCAAAAATCATTGCTTTCCTCTTCCATTTTTCAACAGCTTGGGGCACAGCATCTCCTCATTGTCTCCTCACCCGCCTCTCACTGTCTTTTTGCTCCATGGCAGAGATGGAACACCTCCACCTTGCGTTTCCCGGCCTCAGACTAAACACACTCTCCTTGTGTTGATGCATCAGTGTAGCGACTGACTCTAACGATGGTCAACTTATCACATTAGAAAAATAATGATTTCACTGGCTGCCATTCCCACAGATAGGCCCAGTGTTTGTCTTAGGCTCCGTGTCCTTCACTGTGCTGCTGTGCCTTATGCCTGCCTGTCGTATATCAGCAACGCTGCCACTGTCAAGCCCCCTGATTTATGGCTGTTTATCTCTAGCCCCTACCCCACCACCAGCACCCCTCCCACTCCAACAGATGGTCTCTAGCTATTTACTCAGGGAGAAAATGGTCCCAATCTGGTTGCTTAAATACAACAAAAAAGAAGTTTATGGGAAAGCTGATTTCAAGTTATTTGTCATGTGAGAAAACAGGATATCTGCCCCTGTTTTTGTGATCAGGAATGATACTGATAATATCTGCTAGATGAATCTGACTGGTTACCTTCTTATCTTGATGACTTCCCACTTCAGTATGTGGACAACCTTGACCATTGTAAAATGACATGTAACTGCATATTTATAAAATAAATCATCACAAGCATTACAGCAGAATCCCACAAAAAATCCCATCATCTGTCATGTTCTGGGCGGTTTTCGCCTTAAATCTCTTCAAGTATACTCTACCTCTAAATCTTTGTTGGCTGTCAGATGCTCACAGAGTAAAAAAAACACACATAGCCCAACCCGAACTATAAATTATCTGCTACAGACTCAGAAGGGCTTCACTTGATTTCTGTGTCTCTGGAGAAAGGGCCTATAAGTAGTAACTCAGCAGTATCAATTTTTTACATCAGTTCAGCTATTAGCGTTGTAGATTTTTTAGTACCTGTACGCATCGCAGATTTTTTCCCCCTCAATTTGATGGATACAAACCAGATTTTGACCCTTGCACCTGTCAGTCATAAATTACAGTTCCTGGTTTATGTTTCTCATAGTTTGAAGTGAAACACTTTTAAAATTATTTTGGACACAAACACACAGATAATAGTTTGTAACAGCCTTCTGGGCATATTGCATTCCATGGAGACATAGTGATATGGCATGTACTGGGATTCATATTTTCTCAGGATTAAAAGCATGATTAATGTTTCCTCTCGCTTGCATATGGCTTAAATACAAATGGGTATTCACATGGAGACGTCTCTGTCTGTCTATTCTGGACTATCAGAGAAAATGCCTCCCAGTCAGATATCCTTGTGAGGAGAATGGCTAATTTATTATGAGAATAAAGTACTGAGTGACGTTGGTGGGCTTCATAATGAGGTAAACTCAGCCAGTCATCACATCTCACTCATCTAGAGCGCAAAACCACTTGTGTCTTATCTCGACTCTGATTAACCAGTGATGAAGTGTAACGGGTCCTGACTAGCTTAGGCCACTGTCATAGCAGATGTGTGTTGAATAATAAAGTGACAATGAGTTACAATGAGTTTTTATAGTATGTTAAAGTATATGAAAGAAGTGTAACTGGATACACTGGGTGATGAAATTTGCTGAATTATCAGGGACATTAAAATTCACTTGATCTGATTCCACTACGCAGTAATACAATCACACTAAGGAAAACAATGGTTGGAGACAACAACATGACAACAATTAATGCAAGGTGTGCGATGAGTTTGTGGTCTCGTTGCCTTTGAAATGGCTGCTACGAGGTCGATGATGATTCACAGTCAGATGCTGTCTTCAAACCAACTTTTAAGCAGGAAGTTGGCAATAAAATGGGAAACTCGGTCTGCTATCAGTTGGCAATCAGATAGTATCAAGTTGGCAACTACATGCAATCTGTTACATGCAATTTGTTGCATTGGACATACACAGAAAATCAAATAAACTCCTTACACTCGGAGTCCAGCCTGAACCTCACAGATTTGCAACAGAAATCGACAACTATTGCTGTCTGAGAGCAAATGCAGCCAGTTCAAGTGGAGCCGCGATTATTTGCACACAGGTTGCCTCCCAAAAGGTGTCATATATAATCACCTTTCAATTAATAGTCACCTCAACTACTTTTTAGTTGATAGATGCAAAAAAGTTCAATGTAATCACCAGGCAACCATTGATTTTTCCTACTCATAACGAAGCTGCCTTTCAAGTTTTACTCAAGTGTAACTGAGCTATAAGGTGGTGGAGTGAGTCAGCTGACTTCCATCCCATTTGGTTTTGTTGTGTTTGGCCTGTCTTTATATTTCTTTTCATTTTAGATATGTAAATCTAATTATATAAAACTAATCCAGTTTTAATTGTATTCCACGGTCTTTCTTCATCTCTCCAGCACCATCACAGATAATTGCTCAGAGACAAAACAGTAGAACAAGTTCCTCCTCAGACAGATAATATGTGTACTTTTAGACACAAAGTGTTAGTATCTCCAACAGTGATCACTCGTGTAGACATATAGATTGATATTTTTTCCTTAGGCAGTGTTATTAGAAAACATAGCATGCATTTTCATTACTATGCAGATGATATCCAGCTTTATCTATACGTGAAGCCAGAAAACACAGACCAATTTGTTTAATTACAGGCAGGTCTTAAAGACATAAAGACCTGGATGATCTATGATTTCCTGCTTCTAAATTCATATAAAACAGAGGTTATTGTACTAGGCCCAAGAAACACGATATCTAACCATATTACTTGGTCTGGATGGCATAAACTTGAGGAATTTCTCACATTCCTCTGTGAGGAATCTTGGAGTCGTTCTTTGACCAGGATATGTGCTTCAATGCACATATTACACAAGTATGTAGGGCTGCTTTCTTCCATTTGCGCAACATCTCTAACATTAGAAACATCCTGTCCCTCTGTGATGCTGAGAAACATTATGTTTATGGATTTATCATTTCTAAACTGGACTACTGTATCCCTGAAAAGCTTTAAGTTGATCCAAAACGCTGTAGTGAGAGTACTGACAGACTAGAAAGAGAGAGGATATTTCTCCCATATTGGATTCTCTTCACTGGCTCCCTGTTAAATCCAGAATTAAATTTAAAATCATTCTGCTCACATACAAGTCTTGAAAGTCTTTCACTCACAGACTGCTAGTTTACTTGTGTCTCCTCGGAAAAGTAAAATGAGATTTCAGGTCCCACTCCCAGGTCAGCTCCCAGTTTGGATTCACGAGATGGATACCCTCTCTACTTTTAAGATTATCCTTAAAGCTTTCCTTTTTGATATAACGTATTGTTAGGGCTGGATCAGGTGACCCTGTAGATATCTGCCCCTTCCTGAGCCAGAGCCTGATTCTGCTGGAGTTGTCTTCCTGTTAAAAGGGAGTTTTTCTTTCCCACTGTCGCCAAGTGCTTCCTTGTTATGGGGTCATTTGTGTTGATACCAGTGGTATTAGTTCTGCTGTTGGATATATTCCCCACCTACCCTGTATCCTCAATCTGTATCAAGAGGAACAAAAGTGCTAAACACATCCAAGATGAAGGTTAAGAATAATGGAAGGATCTATGATTTTTCCTTCACACTTGTCAAGATCAGGTAGAACAGTTCATATTGGGACATGTAAACAGCTGTTATATCAAACTGTGGTCAGTGGTTGTAAAGTTTTAATGTCACAGTACAAATGTTAAGAAAACACTGGTGAAAAAACTCGCTTGTTGTTGTTGTTGCCTTCCAGGCCCAAGTTGCATTGTGTGTGTGTGTGTGTGTGTGTGTCTATGCTGCACCCCTTGACTCCCACACATGTTGTATATGTTATGATAGCAGGCGGGACCCTTCTCACTTTGCTAGCAGCCCTTCGAGCTGCCACAGGCAGGCAGGCAATGAGCAGGAAGGAAATGACTTCATGGGATTTGGTCCAAGTTTGAAAATATAGATAGCATGTAGTGCCGTTTTTTAATGACATCGCATCGGATTGCTTCAAGTGGCTGGTTGTGATTATGAGCTAAATGTGGCAGACACGGTAAATTCTAAGATAAATACTCTGTCGAGCACATGAGGCTGCACTACAGTTTTCTTTCTCGGCCACAAATTAACCCTAATTAAGTCATTACACAATTAACAATAAAAATGTTACATACACACTTGTCTGTCTTTAGTGTGTTTTTTAGGCTAGACTGATTGGATTTTTCTGCGCACTGTGCACCGAAAACTTTATGATTTATTCCGACCTGCTGCTTTTGTTTAGCTACGGTCGCCACGAATACAGATGTCACTCTGGATTGACGTAGGAAAATGCGGAGCAGCCAAAACATAAAGTGGAAATGTTAACCCAATAACGCTAGATAAACAGTGAGAGGAGAGAGGCCAAAGACAACAGAGAGTGAAGGGAAAGTGTCCTGCTGGCATCAGGTTTCCCAGACTAAGTGTTATTTGAAAAGCAGCTGAAGGGTGACACTCACTCTCTTCCCACCCAAATCTCCCTTCCTTTTCTTCCCTCCCTCCCCACTCACTCGACCATCTGTTGTTCCTTCTCTTCTCAGGCTGCTCTAAGTGCCTTGAAACAGCTGTCGGAGCAGGGACTGGACCCAGTGGATGGCCCCATCAAGGTACAGTAAGACCTGAATGATGCCCACATGGCTGCTGGGTTTATTAACCAGCTCCAGCCAGTGATGGTGGGCTTAGATCAGCTCCGTGTACACCCACGCACACACGTCCAGCACTTCCGCTCGACATTTTTCTTCCATAGGAAAGCAGCGGTAGGCGTATTGCATTTACATGCACTACGTTCCTGTCAGTGCCGAATACTTTGCATGATCGCTATCACTATTAAGGCTCAGTCATGACAGACACAAGGGCTTCCCTTCATTCATTCTTTCCTCCACGATGAGGAAGGGAGGGAAGGAAGGAGGAAGGCCGACAACGGAGAATCAAGTGGGAAAGCAGGAGCACCGCAGGGGGGTTTTGGAAACCGGGGAGGAAATTACTGTCAAGCGCCTGTGGTGTATTTTCATAGTAGGTGTGCCCTGGAAGAAAAAAAAAAGAAGAAGAAGAAGAAGAAGAAGAAAAACAAAGGTTTTTACAGCCCCGTGTCTCCTTTAGAAGAAAAAAAGGGGAAAGGAACAAAAGGGAGGAAAAACAACTGCAGTGTTGCAACAGCTTTATTTACGTCACCAACAGAAATGAGGAGCAAATATGGCAGCAATTACTCTTTCACCTGAGCAGTTAATCACTCCTTTCTCTTTCCAGTCTTTCCCCTTGTGGTCCTCAGACTCATTAAGTCACCCATACTTTTCTATTAGCACATTCTCAGTTGTTGTTTTCAGATGGTTGCCGTTGCCAAGATGAAAACACAAAGCAGTACAAATTTGAACCTACTGTCTTATCATTGTCAGTGCTATCAGAGATGATTATGTCCTCCTAATAAAACAGCCCGAGAACAGGAGCCACAGCTGATCAGTTAGTGTGAAACAGACTGAGGTCAAGGGCTTGATAAGTGTCTTGACTCATAGCTGAAGCACTTTCAGTCTGTCCGCTTGGACGTTCTTTTACAACAACAATCACCTGTTTTTCTTTTTGACAAAGTATTACTCATTAAAGACTGATGGAATCTTTTCATGAGAAACCCGTAGAGTAAACTTCCCAGTACAGGAGTAATTATTGGCAGCATTCCCCTCCTAACTCACAGTTTCACTTTTCGTTTCAGACCACTGAACCATGTGGGAGGGAGGACGGACATTAAACAGACTAACTCAGGCACCACCACTCAGGTCTGCAAGGATTCAAAGGCTGTCGTCTAGGAGCTGACAACCCCCCGAACCTCTCCTTCAACATACACACTCCCACCCCCGCCTCCTATAACCCTGATCCCACATAACCTCCAGCCACCACCCGCAGTCCCCGCCCTACCCTCTCTACCCCTCACGATCGCCACTGTATCCTGCAAAACCTGTCAACATGCAATAGGGTGGATGTGCACCAAGAAATGACCGACTAAAACACCATTACCCGAGTCTATGTGAAGACAACGCTATCTTAACACGTTTATTGATGATTTCAGTCAAAATTTAGAGGACAAGATAAATGAATAAATACAATACAAGCTAATGATAAATGCATGGTACTGTGTAAAATCAAGGGAAGTCCAAAGCGATACCCTGCATAGACAATTTTCCCTTTGGATAGATGTTGGTATGGTTAAAACAAATAATGTACATCATGCCATTGAAATACAAAAGAAACACATTAGGGGAGAAAACCAACTTCCATACAGTAGCTTTTCTTTTCTTTTTCTTCGGGGGTTTTATATTTCCTTTTAATTTTTTATTTTGTTTTTTATTTGATCTTATTTGATTTTATCAATCTAACAATGCTTGAGTACTGTATTTAAAATTAACCAATGCCAGTGCTGTGAAAGTTGTAGTTGTTGTCTTCATATATAGTCACCCAGCTTACCTTGTATGCTGACATAAAAAAAGAGTTGATCTATCTATATGGATGTGTATGACTTTGCAAGAGTATCATATTCCAAAAAATAACACAGAAAAGTTTTTTTCATGTGGACAAAAAGGACAAAACTGGTGTTAGCAGTAATCAGTAGAAGTGTTGACCCCCCAGGAGGAAAGGTTGGGTTAACCTTTTCGCATCCTGAGGGGGCCTACCTGTTTTAACATGACCCCGCACTGGCATAGCATCACTGGAGCATCACCTGATCAACGGCGGTGAATGGGCCGCCCCATGTGTACTTTTTAGGTCATAAAATAGGCCAGTTCTCCTCAACAGTGGCTAGGTTTTTCATTTTTTTGCACACATCCTCCAGTGCCAGTAAGCTTTCAGAATAACTCCAGAGAGGTTTTTTTTGTACGGTCTGCATGAAAAGTTCTCTCCATTCCAGTGATTTTATGTCAGTGGATCGTCCCCCCTTCCTCCCCCCTCCGCCCCACAGTTTTGTCGATCACATCTACACCCATTGTGTGTGTTGTATTGACCCACCAAGGCATCAACTGGGTGCTTTTAATGCCTGCATTCTGGAGTGCAGCTTTTGATTGAAGAGAGCCTGTAGCTCTAACCTGCAGGCTCTCTCTCCCTAAAGGCCACTTTGGATCACTTTGTCCACTGACATTGAGGATGTGTCTTCTTCTTCGCTGTGAGTGCGATGTGTAATAAGGCTGTGTCTGTTACTGAAATGCAGTAAAAACACCTCAGTTCATGTGGAAAAAAACTGTTTCTTTGTCTCTTCTTTGCTTCTTCAAACAGGTGTAAAAAACCAATATCTCAGTGAATGAAATTAATGTCATTTTCTTTCTAAAAAAGCCACTTTTCTTTGGCACATTTTTAAAGGAGACAATGTGAGTATAGATTAGCTGTAGAGCCTAGCGCTGGTGAATGAACACTGATGGGATGTTACCTGCTGCTATTTAAATGGATTTTCATCAATTTCCCTTAAAAACTTCCCCCATCATACTAAACCAAAGTAAAAGCCGTTCATTTCTTTATCGTGTAGAAAAACTCGTAATTGCGCTTGTTTTTTCTATATTGAGAAATCTCAGGGATTAAATGTGGAGGTAAACTATGTTACAGTGACAGGAAGGGGGTGTTTCACAGGTGTAGCCCACTATCCCTCAAAGTGGGAGATGTGGTCCTGCTGGGGGAGACTGCTGCCATCGGGGAGCGCCATTGGGCCGTCACTCACCAGTCCTGGATGGTATTCACATGAATCCCAGAACCCAAATTTTCTTAGCATTATTATGATTACAATGATTTTAAGTTTTTGGGTGTCAAAATTAGTCATCAGTAAAATGTTGATGTCCAAAATTAACATCCCAAACTGCCCTGCAACAGATTGGCGATGGCGACCTTTCCAGGGTTTATGTCCCGCCTCTTGCCATATGGTACCAGGGATAGGCTCCAGCCCGGCCACAACCCTGATAAGGACAAGCAGAAGAGAATGGATGGATGAATCCCCAAACTGCTGTTTCTCAGTTACATGAAAAAGTTAGTGAGTCCTCTGGAATTGTCTGTATCCGTGTGTAAGTCACACAAATCCTTCTGTCTGATAAAGATCTTCCAGTGTGGGATGTTGGTGGATTTTCTTATGACACATTCACACATTCTTATTGGATCAGCATCATGGATTTCACTCAGCTGTTCTAAAACACTACTCTTCTCCTACCTTTCTTTGGTAGATTTGAATTGATTCCTGAAAATGTAAATCTTTGAGAAATTGAGTAATTTCATAGCTAAATTTTGCACTTGTTGAGGACAAATTTCAGCTGCTTCCTTAATAAGTAACAGTTTAATTTCCTGAAGTGTCTTTGAGGGAAACAGCATGTCCACATTGACCTGCTTATTTGCCAAAAAGTTCCCAGATGTCCTTCACTTTCACTTTACTTTACAAATGAATAACTACAAAATCTCCGCATCATTCCAGCTAGTTAATCTCTACCACAAGCAAACCTACTTCTGTTAGTTTTCTTCCTTGTCATGAAGGACACAGTTGTGTGCTCTCCTCGTAGATTATCAGCACAGGGGTGTATTATATCCACCTTATCGATCTCACACTTCTGTTGCCGTTCTGTCACTTTTACTTGCCTCCTTCATGTAACTCCACCACCTGTGCCGTTCTCCAGAAATCCAACAGTCTCTGCATCACTAGACCCGCTGTGCTCTCCCCCATTAGAGAAATGGATGAGCGAATGGGACAGTGGCGCTCTAATTCAGCTTCACTGACTAATGGACTCAGCTGGCAGCTACATCTGCTAGCTATTGAGGAGCGCCAAAGCTGTTCACATACATTAGCAGCAGATCTCTGTTCCAGAAGCTTGTTCAGGTAGTGGTGGACCAGCTTGAGGCCATGTTAGACTCAAGATGAATGGCCTCACTTTGAACCAACCAATATGGGAAGTGAGCCTCATGTCCCAAAATAGAACAAAATCAATGGGACTGTGAAGCTTGTCTGTGCCATGCAAAAGGAAATGCCAGAGTCATTGATTTTTCCGTCTGAATTATGTCTCATTGACCCCCCCTTCCTGAAGTCCTCCTACTTAACACCAGGATTTAAAATAAAGGGAGGGGAATCCTGTAGAAGTTGATGAATGTCCAAGAAACGCTGCAAGGCAAAAACCTAATAGTTTTCTTGTATTTTGTGTACTTCACCACTCTATGTAAAGGGTTGTTTCACATACTTACTGAGCTCCACTCAGTCCCAACAGTAGCTTGAAATGGCTGCGCTCGGTGCTGATTGCCTCTGTACACAGAGGGATTGAGACTGTCAGTACAACGCTCCCTCCTATAAGAAGTAATTTGCCACCGAGCAACTTTATCCAGCCCCGATTAGTCACAGCAGAGGAGCACTGTACGAAAAGGTTCGATAGAAACTCGCAGGGACCGATCAGCAGTGTCTGGAGGATGGCTGTGTTGTCTGTGGCGGACAAAAGGAATCGATTTGCTCTGTGGGGAGATAAGTGTCCGCGATCACACTGATAGCTGTGAGGAGGATTAACGCCAAGACTTGCCAGTTTAACAACTTAAGCATTTTTGGACATGACATTGATTAGCTGAGTCCAGACAAGGGGGAAAAGAAATCAGCGTCTGGTAATGAGTTTTATTCAATTGGGTTTTTGTAATCAGATTTTTGTAATCTGTTTATGGGAAATTAGATTCTAATGAACCCTGATCACATTTAAACATGTGTTATTAGTTAGAGTGACGAGAATTATTTGATTTTCATAACTACTATAAAATATGGTTGTTAAAATGTTTAAAATACTTTTTTTTTAAAGATAACTCATTAAAAATGCACAGGACCTGCAGTGAGTATGTACTGCAGTGCTGTTTATGAGTCATTTTACTAATTCTTAACATGAAAGATGCTTAAAGAGAAAAATGTATTTGCAGATTTGTATTATGCCAGTGCTTGGTGATAATCCAGTACATGAAAAATACAAATGTTTGCTTATTCTGAAGTATTTCAGTGTCATTTTGTTTTTGGTAGCTACTATATTTCGAGATAGTTTAACCCTGCTTAACTCACATTTACAAATGTTTCTAATTTCAGCTCGAAGAAAGTGTGCAAGCCACGTCTACAAGATAACTGCAAGAAATACCAGGGCTTACAGCACAGTCGGTTTCTAAAATTGTCTTTGTCTTATCAGTGTTTTCCTCAAGTTTCAGTTAATTCACTGACATAATTCGGAACTGGTAATGTTCTGCAATAGATTTACACAATTTTATAAATAAAAGCAGTCAGTTTTTCCATGCTGGTGTCCGACTTTCTGTAATAAACTGCACTGTCTCTCACTAAAATCCCCCGAGTTGTTGTCAAATACCAAGAATGTGACCTCAAAGGCAACTCCAAGCCTGGCACAAACAACTCAGGAATTTGAACATGTGAATCCAAATGCAGCTCACGATAATGTGATGCTTTGTTGACACCAATTAGGAAATTTGATTTTCCCCTCCTCTGGGTAAGCAAAAGGTCAGGGTCAGATACATAAACAGCTCCGACAGAAGCGGTAGTTTTTGTGGCACCGATGGGTCCTTATTGTTCTTATTCTGACCTTCTGATGCCTTTTCTGTCATTTGTGACTTTTAGGTCCTCTTTCCTTTTTAGTGGTTCAGCGTGACACGCCTGACTTTCTGTGACCTTGATTGACTATTTCAGACTGCTGGGTAAGCACAAACAAACAAAAAAATCACATGCTTGCGTGTGCTGCATATAAGAGTATATTTACTTACAAAGACAAATGATTCTTACCATCTTTAGCCAACACCCATGTCTAAAGGGTGCCTGAGTCACCGTTTGAGGGCAGTGATACCGATACTAGTCGAAAAGAGAAGAAAAGGGCTGGGTGGGTGTCGCTGCAACAATGGAAACTGCACCCAAGAAATTCATCAGCATTGCAGAAGATCCTCTTTCCTGTCACTCACTGCAGTAATTCACTGAATTCAAAATAATTTCATTGTGCTATGTGCTGAATAATGGTTTGATCTGAGGTTAGAGTGGATAACTACAGTCATCGCTGTGCAATTTATGACTGCAGCTCAGGTCACCAGACTTAGAGGCAGGAATGTGGGTGTAAACACTTCGCTGGAGGTCAGGATGCAAGTTTTCCCTTTTGATTATATTTAGATTTAGAGCATTTGTGCCTTTATTAGATGCAGAGATGAAGTGTGGGAAAACAGGAGTGGAATGACAGCTGCAGGCTAGATGTTGCACTCATGTGGTATGTCAGTATAAGTCAAACGGAC